GGAGTGACAGGGATTGTAGGAATGGTGGCGGAGGCCTGAGTGGGTGCCTGGATGCGGCAGGGGCTTTGGACGGCTCCGCAGTGCAGCATTCTGGGCTGAGTTTTTGGAGGACCCATCAAAATGCTCAATCAGGCAGGCAGGGCGGGCATGTCCCCCTTTACCTGTGGCTTTACTTTCTGCAATTTTAGTTACTTGAGGTCATCTGTCATCCAAAAATATTAAATAGGATGTTTCAGAAATAACCAGCTCATTGGTTTTCAACTGCATGCTGCTCAGAGCACCGTGGTGAAACCTCACGCCATCTCTCTCCAGGCCTCCTGCATGTGAATCACCCCTTGGCCAGCGTCTCCACGCCGTGTGCTCCCCACCTGTTGGTCACCAGGCAGCAGCCCTCTTGGTGATCAGATTGACTGTCGCGGTTATCACTGTCCTTGTGTTCAAGTCACCCCTACAGTGCCTGGTGTCACGTCACAAGGCCCGCACCGAGCTACATTGTGTCATGCCCTCATAAGAAGGATGAATACAGCATCATACGGTATTTTGAGAACTAGCAAAACCACATTCCCTGAACTTCTGCTACAGTGTATTGTTAGAATTGTTCTATTTTATTGTTAGTTATTGTCATTCATCTGTTAACTGTGCCTAATTTATAAATGAAACTTTATCCTAAGTGTGATATAGAAAAAAAACATAGTGTTTATAGGGCTTGGTATCATCTGTAGTTTCAGGCATCTGCTGGGGGTCTCACGCCCCATGGAAAGGGGGAGCTACTCTTCAAGGGTAACGAAAACACTACCCCCAAAAAGATATCTCCCTCCCCATGTGTGCAGCAGCATCATTTACCAATAGCCACCATGTGGAAGCAGCCAGTGTCCACTGATGTAAAGAAGTTATGAGATACACACACACACACGCACATTCACACCATGGAGTCTTATTCGGCCATAAAAACCATTTGCAATAACGTGGATGGACCTTGGAGGGGTTATTATGCTAAGTGAAATAAGTCACATCCAGAAAGACAAATACTGTATGATCTCACTTATATGTGGAATCTTAAAACAAAACAAAACCCAGTAGAGAAATATCTGACGTGTGGTGCCAGAGGCAGGGGGTGGGAGAAGGGGGAGTCGGGGAAGCGGGCAAAAGGCACCGAGCTCCTGTCGTAAGATGAGTAAGCCCCGGGGATGTGGCAGACGGCGTGATAACGCGAACGAGCACTGCTGTGAGACAGGCAGGAAAGAGGTTAGGAGAGTAAATCCTACAAGTGCTCATCACGAGGAGCAAATGCTTCCCTTTATTCGTCTGCCTTTTCTTTTCATTGTATCCACTGCATCTGAGAAGATGGACGTTAGCTGAGCCTCCTGTGGGAACCATGTCACAACACATGCAAATCAGATCATCATGCCGTGCGCCTCACATGTGTGCGGTGATGGATGTTGATGATTTCTCAGCAAAACTGGACAAATAATTTTGAAACGTCTTTCCCTAGAGTTTCAGAAGTGCTTTCTCTAAAATGTCTTTCCAAGATTAAAAGTTTTAAAATATCAAATTTTATTTTATATTTATTCACAAATACCGCAGACACTTCCGTACGTATTTTTTTACATCGTCTTTGCTAATGCGTCCTGCTCAGACAACAGAATTGGCCGGACATTCCAGGCTCCAGCTGAACCACCTTTTCACAAAGTTTTAATGTGATTCATTTAGAAGGTGAAGGTGTCGCGTGTACTTCAAAATGAATGGACTAAACAACGCCTTTTGTAGAAACTGAAAGGTGGGGGGGGGGAGGGTCTGAGAGCGAGACAGGCCGTTACCACTGTGGGAAAACTTCTTGCCCAGGAGGTAGCACCTGAAGCAGACGCTAAGTAGCAGACGGATGGGGTAGAAGTTGAAAATGTGTTTCAGGTTGGGAACAGATTGTTGGCAAAGGTGGATTTCGTTGAAATGGAGACTTCACGCAGAAGAGTAAAGGAAATGTTGACAAACAGGGTCGGATTAACTTATAGGTGTTCTCCAATGAAGGACTTTTGTGCATTTTCTCCCATAAATAGTGGCAAGTTATGAACCCTTTGGAGGATTCTAATGCATTTGACAGAGTAGTTGTAGAAATCACCCTCCCCGGTGACGTGAGAGGCAGTGGAAGGCAGGTAGACGGCGCACGAGCGTGTGTGTGTGCAATGCTGGGACGAGGGTCATGCAGCGGGAAAGCCAGACGCAGGGGCTGCAGACATGGGGCCATAGTCCTGATGCAATAAAGGAGGTGAAGGAGGGCGATACGACAGGAAGGGTCATGGGGTTTCAGGCAGGGTGACCAGGGCAATGGAAACTACCTCTGAGGTCCGAAGAGAAAAGCCCTGTAGACGGAGGAGGAGAAGGAAGGCACGGTGTGTGTGTGGGCTCGGTGCTATGGACAGAAAGTGGATGCGAGCCACACCGGGGCGCAGCAGCCACCTGCAGGACCGTGGCCACGAGCAGATGAGTTAGCTACATTCAGTCACACTTCATTTACCCTGACATCTTAAAAATGCCATTTCAACATGTAATCAATATACAAGTATCAATGAGATCGTTTATTATTGTTCTCATACTGAGTCTCACACTAAGTGTGAATTGAACACTCAGCACACACCCCCAGTTCAGCCACATTTCAAGTGCTCGGCAGTCAGCTGTGGCCAGTGGCTACACTACTGCACAGGGCACTGTTAGTTTAATAAAACTCATAAATTTATATGCAAGTGACTCCATGAAGCTGGTGCTGAGACTCACTTGGAAATGATCATTCGAATGTTTACCCTTTATCACTTCTGTTTCTTTTATTTTAGCTTTTTCATATTCAGAATGTTCTCTTAGCAAGACATCATCATTCTTCCCTGAAAGCACCAAGAATTTTTAGAAATATTCACAACATATTGTTCATTGCTCTCTCATTCAGTTCTCCGTTGGACTAACAAGTTTAATTAAACAAGTCAGTCTGAGTCTCTTTTTTTCCTTCTTTTGTCAGTCTTCAAACTCTTGGTTATGAAATAATTCAGCACTGTCTCTTCGAAACCCTCGGACAAATGGCATTTCATACTTTGGACGTGAAACTACGTTCCCCCCATTTCCTTGCTTCCTGTGTGCAGATGTCTCCAGGGTTGAATATCAGATACCCACTTCGTGGCGTTTCGGTCTTCGCTATATGCTACGGCACGCAGTTCAAAGGGAGCCTTCCTCTATAGAAAACATGCCAAGGACATTGTGTTCCATCTCCAACAATGAAATGCAGATTTCCATTAAAAGGCAAATCCATCATTTCAAAACGTTAACTAGGACGGTGCATTAAAAGGGTCCAGCTGCTTAAACTTAGGGCATTGAAAAGCATCTAAAAACATTTCCCTGGGTCTCAAGCATTTTCATTTAATTATGCCCTGACCAGTTTTTTTCATTCGGTCTACGGTCTTGCCTCACTCTTGGGTGTGTTTCAAACAAGTCAGACTCTGCCGTGGTGCTCCATTTACTTAGTTGTGTATTTTGCTCTTTAGAATATTGTTGCATTTGCTAATATGTCATTAATTTTTGCACAAGAAATACTGGAACCTTCTTAACAGTGGTTGGCTTTTTCGCATGTAGTCTTACGCTTCCTTCACTCCCATTTAGTTTCTTTTATTCGTTTTTTTAAATCTTCTTTGAAGACACTGGCTGCCAGGACGGCCATTTGGGCCTCCCACCAGCTTCCTTCAGCCTCTTCAGTCATCCGTCTCTCTCTTCCTCACTGTTTGAGTGTGCTGTGCCCAGCTGTTTTCTGGTCAGTCAAGGAGGAAGAAGTGGCCGAGACAGTCATGTTCCCGGTGGCCCTCCGGGGGCGCGGACCCTGTGGTTCCCTCACGATGTCCCCTGAGCTCCCACCCTCAGGCCCAGCCACGCATCCGCAAGCCCTTGCAGCAGGGGCTGAAGGAGCAGCAGGCTGTGTGGGACATGCCTGTAGAGAGCACGTCTTCCCTACAGGAAGAACACGGATAGCTGCTTGTAATAAGTCAAAGTCAAGGGTTCCGTGCTCGCCTCCTCCAGAGGCGGGGCCTGCTTTTTCTCAGGACCAGCTCTGGCCATGGAGGCTGGGACCGCACCGGGACTGCCGTTCAGCAAGGACGGGCTCCAGTGCCCCAGTACTCCATCTTGCCTTGGTTTCTTACCCTGCGTGTCCGGCCGTCCTAATACACTGGCTGTTAAGCTTTAGCTCACACAATAACATCACCCCCAGGGCCGGTCTGTAAAAGTCAGCCTTTCTAATAATTCTTTGGTATCCAGTGTGTTTTCACAAAGACCAGTTTGGTCCCATTCATAGACCTCTCCTCGCCCATGTCCATTTTTTCCTAAAGAATCGTTTGTTTTGAAAAAGAATTTGTTCTCATTAGTATCAGTCCACTTCTAGTGGGTCCTTTTTCTCTCAACAGTCGAAGGGCATCGTGTTTTTTTCTGGCCCCACATTCGTCCCTGGCCGAAATGAAGGAAGTGTTGCTGTGCCTTAGCGTGATTTATTGGGGGGGGCACTTTACGCTGGGGTCTTGTGCGTACAGGCCCCTGCCAGGACTGGCTATCAAAACTGCTTAGGCTGCAAATAAAATATGAAATGAAATCCATCTGGCACTTCTCATTGAATTAGGACCAGAACATTTTTGTTAAATATTAACAGATGGCTAAATTCTTAATATCAAACTAACATTTGAAAACATCTAAGGGGACCCACATGAGGAAGAAAGGATAGAGGCCCATGTGTTCTCTGCATCGCCGAGCCCCCTTCCGTCCTCCGCTTTCCTCCCCTCATCCCTCCGACCATGTGTGCAGAATCATCGGCGACCCGCATCTCGAGTCACTTCTGTTCTCCGTTATCTGGTATCAGAACAGCGTGTGGTGGCATCAGAGGGTTGGGAGCAAATGTTGGCCAGCTCCGGGGGGATGTTGCCCTTGACCTGCTTCAGGATCTTTTATTAAAGCTCCGCCTCCTCCCGCTCTCTCTCCAGGAAAAGGAGAAGAAGTACATGCTGCCCTTGGACAACCTGAAAGTTCGAGACGTGGAAAAGACCTTTATGTCTAGCAAGCACATCTTTGCACTCTTTAACACAGAACAAAGGTAAGATCGCAAAGCCTTCGTTCAGAGTGCGGGCCCCGGAGCCTCTCGCCACAGCTCCTTTGGCCCCACCTTGACGGTTGGTGACTCATCAGCTTCCCCTTCATTTATTTTGTGTTTTTAGCTTTCATCATGGGTTATGGATTCCAGAGTCAAAGTTAAAACAAGAAGGATCTTCAAGTGCTAATCAGGTTATCCCCTGCAGGCACCCACATCAGACTGCTTCTGTCCTTCGGCTACATTTTATTACTTTGCAGTCTTCCTTGCCCTGAACCTATTGTTTACCTACTTACAAATTACTCAGCTCTGATTTTAATGATGTCTGTCTGGCACGAGTGGATATAGACCCTCTCGTATATTGTGTATCATGACGAAAGTCTCACACCAGTGAATAGAATTACCGAGTTAATGTGAATACAAACACACAGTACTTCGCAGTTTTTCAAAACACCATCTAGGCTCACATCTGTTTTTTTGTAACAATTGCTTGTGAGGTTAAGAGATAGAGCAGCAGTGTGGTTACCATTTTATAAATTAGAAAATGTAGGTCAGAGAGGTTAACTGATTTTCTTAAGGCCTCAAAACTGAAGTATCTGGGAGAGCCGAACCCTCAATCAGAATTTCCTTGTCTAAGGGCCCCTTCCTTCCTTCCTTCCTTCCTTCCTTCCTTCCTTCCTTCCTTCCTTCCTTCCTTCCTTCCTTCCTTCCTTCCTCCCTCCCTCCCTCCCTCCCTCCCTCCCTCCCTCCTTTCCTTTCTTTCTTTTTCTTTCTTTCTTCTTTTAACTGCCACTCCCCTACAATAGCTAGAGTTCCTCTTGGACTGGTTGTCTCTCAGAGTACCATGGTTGGTGACTGAAACCAGAGGTCAAGTTAAGCAAATGGAGAGGTCACAGAGGTCAAGGACAGAGAGATGTAAAAGAGCCATTACAACTAGGCAAGGATAATACAGCTCTTTCCCAAATGGAAATGTTGTAGGAAACAGCTCGCTCATTTCTGTGAGTCAGTTATGAAGAGACGGAATGACTCGGCGCAGGGGTCCAATTTTAACCCATCTTTCCAGGCCTTTTATCTTTATTTAGCAATGAATGATGTTCCTTCGTTAGGTACGGGGACTGGCCCAGGGTCAGCCACACGGTGACTCAGAATAGCAGAGGAAGACTCCGTCCCACATTCTCAGTCAGTGGCTCAGAGTGACTCATTTTACAAAAACACTCGGGAAAACCACAAGGACAAGCCATGTGAAGAAACCAAGGGGGCAGCAAAGTAAATACGGCTCCCCTATCAAATACTGAGATGGGACATTCTGTAAAGATTTCATGTGATTTGAGGGGAAGAAAAACATTTGTAATGAAAAAGAGGCAGAAGGGCTCCTGGAGAGACTGGCCGCATGTCCAGGTCCTGGGACCCAGCTTGGTGCTTGAACACCTTCCTCGGTGCCATGGCGGGGGCGGAGGGAGCCCCCGGAAAGGAGTCAGCTGAGGGGCGCTCAGCCTTCTTGCCCAGACACAGAACGGGAAGTGTGACTGCCACACAGGAGGTCAAACTAAATTTATGTCCTTAGTCAACCTGGAAAGCTCTGGTTCTAAAAGGGCTTGGTACAAAGGAAAAAGAAATTGGGCAACGGTAGAGCTCTTTTTTTTAGAAGAAGTACAACTGCGGGTTTTAAAGAGAACAAAAGTCACCAATATAAGAAAACTCTGTGAACTTCTAGAAACCTAGGCGTTCTGGAATACTAGTTCTCAGAGGTATTGAACTCCGTAACTACTTCTCAGAGAGCCTGGTGAGTACAAGGATGTCCGGTCTGCAGGCGCACCATTGTCTTTTCCTCGGAAATCCTGATACTTTCAGTTATTTTTGTACTGGCTAGGACGCCAAATTGTACAATGGGGCATCCTTGTCTTGTCTTTATTTTAAAGAGTATTTATTTCGTTCTTTCGTCGTTAATCACTTTCTGATAGGTACCCAGTGTGCAGTAAAGAAGGTCCCTTGTGTTTCTAGTCGCTAAACTCTCCCCATTTTAATCATGGTTGGGTGATACAGTGTAGCCAGTGCTTTTTCTGCCTCTACAGAGAAGATCATTGTCTTCTTTAATCTGTTCGTGTGGTGAACTATATTAATAGACTTCTAATGTTAAACCATCCTTGCTCTCCTGGGATGAAACCTAGTGAAGGCACAATGTGTTACTATGTATCATGCATGTCTGGCTTAAGTTGGCTGGCATTTTATTCAGTTTTTTGCATCTATGTTCATAAATGAGATAAGCCCATCAATGTCCTTTTTCCCACTTTCCTGTCCTGGTTTCCACAGGGAGGTTCTGTTAGCTTTATTGTTGAAGCAAGAATGAGGACTGTCGTTCTTTGGAAGCTTTTGAAATAAAACAAAGATGAACTATTAGCTGTGGTTTGGTAGAACTCATCAGGCCCTGGGGAACAGTTTTGTGAAGTAGATTTTTAACTCATGACTCATTGAATTTAATAATTATAGATTTGTTCAGGTTTTCTATTTTTTCCATGAGTCAGTTTGGGCAAATTGCATTTTTTCTAGGAAATTATCTATTCTGTTCATTTTTAAATGTGTGTATTAGTGTCAAATATGTCTTAATGTTCTATATTTTCAAACTGCCTTATCTGAAATCTGAGCCCCTTTTTATTTTAAATAGTAAGCCTTATCTTCTTTGACACAATCACTGTTGCTGAAATTGTATGTATTTTTAAAGAACCCACTTTTAACTTTTCAGTTCTCTATTGTGTGTGTTTTTTCCTATTTCAATAATTTCTCCTTTCATCTTTATTATTTTCTTTCTTGTATTTTCTTTGTGTTTACTTTCTAGGTCTTTGTTTCTAAGTTAATATGGCTTTATAGCTCATCGATTTTCATCCTTTCTTCTTATTATACATGCATTAAATCTACGGAATTCCCTCTCGGTCATCTTTAGCTACTCACCACGAATTTTTAAATAGAATGTTTTTATTATTAAGTTCTGTCTCCTTCACCCTTCTGTTACCATAATATTTGTTACTATTTCTTCTTTCAGCTGTTTGGAAGTGTGGTTTATGTGGTATGGTGCGTGGAATTTTACTGTTTCGTTGTTGATTTCTAACTCAATTGTATTGCGGTCAGAGAATAAAGTCTAGCAAATGGTGACGCTTCACAACTATTCCATATACACTTGAGAAGAATGCACTGATTTGGGAGTGAAAGGTTCCATAAGCGTCAGTTAGATTATGCTTGTTAGCTGTGCTGTTCAGTCTCTATGGTTATGAGCTTTTTTATGTTGATTAATTCAAACACTCCACAAGTATACATTAGGCAGCTGTAAACTGCTGGCTATGCTCTAAGATTTGAAGCTACATCTGTAACTAAAACACAGGAAAGAAAAGATGATGCATTTAAGATATCATTCTAGACAGGGATGGTGTCAGGAAGACACATAAAAGCCATAAAGAATCTCATTTATAAGAGGGAGTGAAACATCTCACTGTACAAATGTGAACTGGATGATTCTAGTCTGTCCTTTTTCCTTTTATGTATTTTGAGGTCAACCTGTGTTATTAGACTCTTGCAAGTGTAGAATTGTTGTGTCTTCCTGGTAACATTCTCTTTTAATAATATTGTGGCAACCACCTGTATGTCTTACAGTGATCTTGACCTTAAAATTAATTTTGTCTGATCTTAATATACTGACAGTCCCTTTCTTTTGGTTACTGTTTGCCTGGTTCATCATTTCCACTTTCTCTGGCCATCAGTCCTTCTGTGTTTGTATTGCTTTCCTATAGCACATAGCTAGATTTGTTTCCTTTATTCTAAAATGAGATCTTTCTCTTTTAACCTGTATTTTACCCCATTTATATGTTATGTTTTCATTACTGGTTTTTAACTAATTTGGACATCTTAATTTAGTCTTTCTTATTACTCTGCCATTCCTATATTCATTCCTCCACCTTCTTTCCTGCCTTATTTGTCTTTTACTTAGGTTAATTAATTAGTTTTTCTGTTGGCTTGGGTATTATTTATTTTTAATCTTTCAAACATTCTTTTAATATTTTTTTCACTTGAAGTTTGAACTTAGTCATTCAACACTCTTCCCAAAATGACCGTAAATCACCTGGACTCTGCTAAGCTCTCCTGACTTCCTTATTATTGTTACCTCGTGTTTGAGTTCCAACTACTTTTTTACCCTTTTGCTCAACATTATTCGGGTTTACACAGTGCTTGCTTAGATTTAGCGACACGTTTGTCGATTTCTTTGTTCACTTTTCTCCTTGCGTCCCAGCGTCTAATTCTGGTTCCTTCCTCTTCACATTAAAGTACACTCCCAAGAAGTCCCTGCAGTGGGTACTGTTCAGTTGTCACTTCATTTGGTGTTTGTTTTCCTGAAAGTGTATTGTGTCATCCTCATTTCTGAATAAGACATCAGTGGGATATTAAATTATGGGCCGACAGGTTTTTTTTTTTATGTAGTACTTGGAAGTCATGATTTCCCTGCATTCTGGCATGTGCTCTGCTTTCGAGAAGTTGGCCGACATTTTCATTATTGCTTTTTTTAATAGGTAATCTGTGTTTTCTCAGTGGTTGAGTTGAAGAGCTTTTTTGTCTTGGGTACACTGACGTGTCAATACAATGTGTGTTTTGCTTTACATTTCCTGCTTGGGATTCACTGTGTTTCCTAAACCCAAGGACTCATGATTTTCATAGGGTCTGAGAAAGACCTCTGCTGCTAGCTCTTTAACTTTTACCTCTGCTCTTTCTTCTTTCTTCTTCCGCAGTTCCTATTAGTCACGTATTAGTCCGTTTTGTCCTGTTCTTCACATGTTCATCTCTTTATTTCGAACATATCACCTTGTGCCTCGTTTTGGGTCCATTTTGTAGCTCAGTCTCCCAGCTTGCCAGTCTCACCTGCGACTGGGCCAGAACAAACTTGCTTAGCCATCTTTCTTTGCCAGTGGACAGTTTTTTTCTTTTAATCCTTCTTTTTTTTCCCCTGATGATACGGCCTTTCGAAA